CAAATGGAGGTTAAAGTGAAGCAGCATTACCAGGCACGTAGGTCAGCAGGCCTGTGTTGGCAGCATCCTACCAGGTTGTGGATCAGTAACACTGGACCTGGTATATTAAAGCAAGCACGGGTGATACATGTGCACTGATAGTGTTATTCTGGTATTTATTTTAGAACTGTTTGTGAACAAAGAGAAATTAGAACCATTTCCTATCCTGTTTGCTAATACTAATAATACCATCTCATCCAGCAGAGGCTTCAACGTCCAGACAGAAACATTAGACCAGTTTCTCCCAGTGCAGGGCAGTAAGGTAGTCTACGGCTGACCAGATGAGTGCAAAGGACTGTACTGTAGATGGATTAATACTGTTGATGGCAGTGGCTTCACTGAAGTTTTAAAAGCAACTCTGTTCTGCAGGTCACTATTAAGATGCACATTAATGACTAAAAATCCAAATCTATGAAAATGTTATACACAAACATTCATCTACCTGCTGTTTGTCTTCCTGCTCTTCATCAAAACCAACATTTTTCTAGCCAACTTTTCTCTGCAGTTTCGGCGGAAACCGAACACCAACGTGAGTCAAGGACCCCCTGTACACGCACAAAACACTGCACACGAGTTACCAGACCCTTGGAGTGACAGTCAACATGGTGAAATGCTCCAGTGTCACCATGTGGTGAAAGTTAAATGCCTCATAACTGTAATCATTCTGACTGTCCCTCCACCTTCTTCTCCAGATGTAGCAAAGGTTTCCATTAGAACTGACGACCCCAACATAATGTTTCAACACTGGCTGAATATTAAGGGAGAGACTTGGTATTTAATATGCATCGGATAGAGGTGCATTATGTAACGCAAGTTATCAAAGACTGCAGCACTTTTACTTGCACCATAATATTAGGAAACACAGGGCTTCTGTGACCTTTACTGTGGCCAACAGCTAAATTTGTCCACTGGCCATCTTTTTTCCTCTTAAAGATCTGTTACCTACATTTCTACACTCTGGCTGTCTTCCTACTGGGTCATGTCACAATGACAGGAAGCCGTTGACCTTCTTTGGAGGCAATACAGAGCATTAACTGTGGCCACATCCTTACAACCTGGAACATAAACCAGTCATCGTTTCCAGTCTTGAGAATTAGAAATGCCAAAGTGTAATAAAAATCTAATGTTACAGAAAATGAAAGAAAAATGCAAAAACTCTGGCATGAATCTCCCAAAAACTTATACAGTTTCCACCTTTAACCGATTTTCACCAGTTTTTATGATTTACTGGAAACCCCACTCTCCAGCAGTCGATCCCCGAATGGTTTTGTAGTTTTGGGCCTGGCTGTGGTTTGGTGCCCACAGGCATTATTCTGTACTCTCCCACATGCTTTTACATGATCAATCAAAAGACGGCAGAGAAAATGACTAGTCACACCAACTGGAGAGAGATGGAAAAAGTCAGGACTAACAGTGAGTCACAGAGGATCAAAGGTCTAGTAACTGGTCTGAACTGGAGCTGTAATTTATCATGCACAGTGGGAGGTCACTTACAGGATCCGGTCGATACAGCACACACACATACTGTATGGCATGCAGTTACATTTATATTAACGGATGCAAGGAAACAATCACAGCAGTGTTTCAATTTGTTCATGTTCTTCTCTTGGCCTACTTCTTCTGGACCTGGATATTCCTCACCGTCTCTGTGGTTACAGCAACCATCTGTTTCCTTTATTACAGTACATCCATGCATGTTCTCTAGGAACTTCTCTTTTTCTCTACCTGTTAGCCTTACGTCCAATACTAGCTGCCATTTACAGTGTATACCCCAGCACGTCTAAAGCACCCCTGACACTATGGTTTACTCCTTGCAACCCACAACATTTCACCTGCATGACCCTGACCCTGACCCTGACCTGCTCCCCAGTCTCCTTGTAGATTTTAATGTCCTCTGATAAACACCATGCTCCACTGAACCTAAGGCCCGACCTCAACCTTCAACCTGTCCACCACTGCAATGGCCTCATCTGCAAATAGAGCTACACTTCTGACCTTCTCAGGCAGAACTGAGATGTTGCTGACATACACACATCCAAATCTCTCGCCTCAGCCTTAATTGAACAGCTCCTCACCATGCCGTCGTGGTTTGGCTGTTCACCTTCATAGTTCTCCAGTGATTCATTTTTTAACAACTTCACTCAAAAAGTCTATTCCATGTCATAAGGAATACACTATCTAGGCCAACTTCCTTTCAACTTTTCTTTTTTCCTCACTAACTTCCTGTACTTACTGATTAAACATCCGTCCTGTTAGTCTACACAACCAGTACTTCCTCACTACTTTTATTTCCTTCATCAACATGTCCATCGAGGTCTGCCTCAACCACTACCATCTTCCCTGATGACTCTTGCTCCAGGTATTCTTTTCTCTTCTTACTGACATCTCATTTGTCATCACAAAAATGACAAAAATGCACAACACACCTTCTCTGTGAACTCGGGCTATTGTTCGACACTCTGTGGATTCAAACCTCTGTTCAGGGTGATCTACTCTCCTTTCAGATTTCTATATATACCAATGTAGAACCAACTTCAGTGCTTCTGGTCTCGCTTACATTTCAGTAGGTCAACAGAACACAGTCGACACACAGTTGTCAGTTTCTACCTTCATTTCAGCTGTCCACCTTTACAAGTAATAGCAGTAATACTCAAGGCCCTCTGGTTCTCTGCTGCCCCCTAACTAGCCTTTACTCTCTCTCTCTTTATGGTCTCAACTTTGTTGAGAAACAAAATGATCACAATGTTTGCTCATCTTTAACCTTTTTTGGAAATCGGAAATAAATATATATACATTTTATATAAAAGAAAATTTATTTTTATAGAAATTTATTTTGTTTATAGAAAAAGCACAAATCAACATTCAAAAACTCTTAATGACTTTATCATAATGGATGGAAATAATTCACAGTGATATTAGGACTGTTAAAAGTCTGAGTTTACTGTTAATAAACACAACAATTAAATAAAATGGTTTTCTTTTCATTCAATCCAGTGCGACAGGCCATTTCTTAAAATCTTTCTGTCCTCAAGAACATACTGCAAAGTCATTACAGATTCTGCAGCCTAAGAGGAGAAACCCTTCATTACTCATTACTCTACTGCAAATGTAATCTTAATAATTTTGAAGAATGCCTCAGTCAAGATTTGAACATACCTATCAGCCTCGTGCTGAACTTAAACCGAGAATGCACCAGAATATGAGGCACTGCAGCAACAATGAAGAACAGATGGGTTCTGTCAACAGGCCCATGGTGTTAAAGAGAACTTTCAAATCTTGCATTTTTCCAACAAGTATGTCTAAACAAAGTAGGTCAGATGTTATTGAAACAGCAAGGCGCACAACTTTCTGTCAAAGACGGAGCTATTAAATCAACTTCATTACATCAGGACTTATTTGCTGCTGTGTTTTCTAGTTCCTGGGCTTGAAAGAGTTATTCTGGCTCACAAATATTTATAAATCCAATAAAATAAATAACATATGGGAACTCAAGTAGATTTTTCTTTGAGGAAAGAATTGTCCGCAGCTCAGGGAATTAATAGTGACAGCATGTATGGCTCAGCTGAAAAATAACATTTTAAACACTGTTCTGTTTAGGGCTTTAAACCTATTCTGTACCGGGTTTCAGTTTCTTGTCTCTGGTTTTAAAACCTGTTCCATATAGGCCTCTACATTTATTCTGTTTAGGTCAAAAACATGTTCTATTTAGGGCTAACTAAACTGAAGCCCATATCTTCGTGTACAGTACAGGGTAGTATATATATATATATATATCTTTTTTGGACCGGTGACAACTATCATAGAACCAATTTACAATACAGATGAAACACCCAGGTCTACTGTACGGTTACCTCCCACTGGGTCATACCCTGAATATTTTCACAGGGTCTCTATAACTGTAGAATTATCACAAGCAAAAATGGTTGACAGGATCACTATCTCTAAAATATAACCAAAACTTCTGTTACGCTGAGTTGCTGTTTTTAACTACCATCAAACAAGATGTGCATTTCCTCTGTATAATAATGACATTCATTTACACCTGAAACTAAACGTTGAGGCTCTTTGGATGAACTGCTGTCTGTAAACTGTAGATGTGCTGAATTGTGAACGCGTGCTGAGAAAAATGAGGCCTGAGCAGCAAGTGAGTGCTTGTGTCTCCCAAGTCCTTGGGAATGAACCCAATGAACTGTAGGAGGTGTGCGAAGTAGTTTCTGACAAATCCAAACCTTATTACCACTTCTCCACCTAGTGGCCAAAACTCTTCATCGCTACTGAATGATTCCAAACTGTGTGTCTTACTCTGCTGCAACAGTACGTTGTCAAGAGATGCAAGGAGTGGTAATAAAAAAATATTAAACAAAAGTCAGAAGGAAAATATTTATTCTGAATTTGAAAATAAAATTCTGAGTGGACAGGTAACATGTTGTTGTTGTGACATAATATCGTTATAATTTTAGGGTAATGATTGAACTTCCTAGATTTTTTTTAACTATACAACAATGGTGTTTCCAGTTAAGGAATTCTGAAAACAGGTCACAACAAAATGAAATAGAGAGAGCTTCCACTTTTTATAACTTAAAAAATGATGGCAGCCTGAATCCAATCAGAAAATACATGAAAATGCTTAGCAACAGCCACCACTGAATGACTGTAAAAGAAAAGAATTTTGTAGGATCAAAATGTTTCACAAATTTTAAGGAAATTTTTTTTTAAAATTTAAATGAGAATGAATTCAATTAACTCAGACTTTCCTCCACATGTTTTACACTAACATTTTGTGTGTGTGTGTGTGTGTGTGTGTGTGTGTGTGTGTGTGTAGGGGAGGTCAGGGAGGGCCGGCTACTTTAGCATAATGTGCACAATGACCTTTGTGGTCAACTGAAGGACCAAACGAACATTTCTCAAGGAGAACTCACTTCCAGTGTTCCCCTAATGTAACTGGACCACATCTTGCTTACCCGTCAGCTTCGGCGAACTGCCCTGCCTCAGATGGTATACTGTAGCTAGCCCATTTAATTGGAAGTGGGTGGTGTATCGCTGGGCTGTAGATGGAGGTTGTCGCCTGGTTGGCACCATCTGTCTCTGTCTCTTTCAGTGTCAAATCACTGACTGATAAATGAAGCACATCTCCTGGATCTTGAGAAATTATAAACAACAGGCATTTATTAGATCCTTTACAAAAGTATTTCATTGACGTTTTGAAAAAGGGGCAACGCTGGTTTTACCATAAGGTGTAAAATCAAAACACATTTTGTTCCAGCCTGTGTTTGGAATCTCTTGGACTTCATTCTCCCAGTCTTCTGGTTGAGGGGTCATTTGGTTTGTAGATTTATCTGGACATGTGCTTTTATTGTCTCTGAAAGTTTTACACACAGATTGTTTGTTAGACAGTAGTGGCTTGTTGACAGAAAAGTCTCTTTCCTTTCTAAAAATACGGTGTGTGTGTAAATTAGGTGTTTATAACAACATTCAAACAGGACAGAAAGGGGTGAATAATACATAGCCTTTAAATTCCACATCTTCTTACCTCTTCTTACTTCTGATTTTTTTCCTTTTGAAACCATCTTTTCCTGTTGCATGGCAAAACTGGGAAGCCATTTGTTCCGTACTGAGGGCCAAGGAACCAGAGCCAGGTTCTAAGGCACCATTTCCTAGAACACTGTTTGAAATGTATTCACTGCTGACACTGTTAGACTTCAAGGAAGTTGAACTTCTTTGTCTCCTGAGTGTCTTTGAAGTTGAAGATGCTTCACCTTTGCCCTTGTGCCAGTGATTATTATAACCATTGAGCAGCTTTGGTTTGGTGCTCGGGTGGATGCCAGCCAGTATGTTGTCACTGATCCTAGTGGCAGCTCCCAGGCTTTTGTATGAAGTGACTCCTTTAACCAAACCTGTGCCTTGGACATGGCCATGCACCACACTGTTGGACTGAAGGGAGGTGTGATGTGATTTTCCTCTTCTTAAGATGTAGTTCATGCCATGTTGGGCCATGGCTTCAGCTGTGATGTAGGTGAAAGATTTGTTTCAGCAACATTCATGGAAAAATGTAAAAGTCAGCAATATAAAAAAAATATATTCAAACTTGTCTTTAAAAAAATCATTTCATCCCCCACACTGAGCTGGAATGTATAAACCAATATACAAATCACAACATCAGTTACAACTTATTCCCAAAAGAATCAGGCGTTATATCAAATAAATGTGAGTTATTTGAAAATGACGATCGTGATGATCAAACTTAAATATCATAAAACAAAGGAGACTCCAGACTTAATGACACACCTGTACGGTGTATGACATAAGACAAAATAACACAACCAACTCAGTCTAACAAGTTAAGCGACCCCGGCCTAGCTGTTAGCATGTGGCTAACAGCTAGGCCGGTGAGCATTCCTCACAGTCGAAGGCTTTCTAATTGACAAATATGGTAATGTTGCTATTAATGTGTTTCAGTGTTAAAATAGGTGATAGTGTTAAATTCAAATTTAAATTATTACAACTGTAGGAGATTGACTAAACGCAAACACTACAGTCGGTTGTATCAAATTATTGACCCATTACCTCAACTGTACGCTGGTCTTGAACACACTTTCTCGCCAATTACAAAAGTCACCTAACCCACGTCCACACCCCAAGTGTAGCAGCAGCAGCAGCAGCAATAGCGGTTCGGGCACTAGTGGGCGCCAGAGTCAAAAGGATAACGACAGAGGGATTTGAGGTCGTATGATCTATTATTTGTCTATAATATTTTCAAATTATCTGTTAAGTTTATGTTATTATTAAATACCAGATTCTACAAATTCTCTAACATTCTACATGCCATTGAAATATAAATGTATATTAATTTAAATGAGTCAGACACATATCAAACATTTTTACAATGTGGGAGAAATATTAACATGCATTAGTAGAAATGTCCCTATGTTTACACTTGCCCGTGCATGAATACTGACAATAAAATCTGCTGATTTTTATTTCCTCTACTAGAAGTTCAGGACAACATAGTCAGAAATTCCATGGGACACATGAACTGTCAAAATCTTTTTATTGCCATTTTAAGTCATTACATTCGAAAGGGTAAGTACTAGTTCACTCAGTATCAATTACGTTGTTTCTCCGTTGGCACAAGCAGTCACCAAATGAAAATTATTCTCAGACAAAATAGAAGACAAGTCATTAGTTGTGAAGGCAGAACATAAGTCAATTTTGCCGAACCATTCAGTGAAGCTGTGGGAAGACAACTTACAATCATTAAAAAAAAGACAATTTAAGCAAATTGAAAATTCATGGACTTTTTGTGACTAACAATAACAATGTAGAACCTCCCGTGCAGCTCATTTATAAAAAAAAAATAATAATAATAAAAATATTCCCAAAATTGTTTAGCCTACAGAGTCTTTGTGCTACACTGCCCTTCCAATAAGACGTGTATTTATTTATTTTTTGATAAATCTGTATAAAATCTTATCACATCAAAGAAAAAGAACCGTTGAGTGACACAGGAATACAAATGATCACTATATAATTACAGCATTTACAATTATGCCAGACATTAACAGTGAGTGTTCCTCCATTAGCTCTACATTATCACTGTCATTAAGAAGGCAAACTGAGACAATGGTTTCTGTGCAAGGAAGAAAATCTCAGCTTGATCAATTTGAATATTCACTCAGCAGACCGTGACCAATTTCCCACATTAAGACCTCCTTGGGTCAACACAGCATACTGACCACATTTGTTAAACCATGTGTTATCAAGTTATACTCGAATTCAAAAATCCTACTGACCACACAAAAAGTGGTACATCGAGTTGTACTGTTATAGTATTAGAGTTCCATGAGGTCATGTGCTGTATTCACTACAATATACAACCTGTGAGATTGTTCAATTAGTCTTCTGCATCAAAAACAGTCCATTTTAGGGGATCATTATTTTCAACTCTAGCAGTAGCACCTGCTGACTTTACAGCAGAACCATCGTACACACACTGCAGTCACTTCACCACATTTCAGTGCAACATCATTAGACCCATAACAGCAGCATGGAATCCTTTTCGACTTAGACTTTGCCAATAAGCAGCAGACATTATTAAATCATCTATTGCTTACGTCATGGTGAAAAGAATTTTACAAGTGCAGTTTGTGTGTTGAAGTTCCTGGAAGACACATTATCAAGTTAGGTAAAACCACAATTCTTCACCTAAAATCATCCTTTAACAGCCTCTGTCTTTTATCACCTCCCATTACACTCCATATTTACTTACACACAGTGTCTTCAACCCATAACAAGTAAATCTGACATATTTTATTCAAACCACTTCTGCCTCAATCCTCACTTTTCTGCTCATTCAAGTAAATGTATGTACTGCAGGTGAACAGCTGGCTGAAGGACAGCAGATGAGAGCCAACTCATACTGATGTCTGACTTACCTGGGCTGTTGACTTTTTTCACTGTACCAAATGGTCTGGCTGAAATTCGCTGTTTCAGCAGTAGATGTTAGGATTTACAGCTGGGTTATTTTTCCCCAGGTTACATTATTTCCAGTGTAAGACATACAGTGACGACTCTTACTGATTCTCACAGAGCATTTGACGCAGGATTTTCCAGTTCTGTCCCACAAAATCAAGGTTGTAACAGTAAACATAGTTCCCGAAGAAGCCTGATACATTTCGCACCACACCGTAGTCCTCCTACATTGTTGTATGCAAGTAGTTTTCCTGCCACAAACAGCAGGGGGCAAAGGATACTGTATCTACATACCAGTACAGGTCTTTGACCCGCCCGGTGCCTTTCCCTGCCTTACATTTCCAACTCCTGGTCAAAGACACAGCCTTTGATTAAGCAACTGCACGGATTCTCCAGAGTAAACGTTGATTCAATGCTAATAATGCTAATATTTTATCTCGAGGAGGGAGGGGTTGTTGTCCAAGATGGACAAGATGATTTTGTCCATATACTGCCGTAGACGCAGGTTGATGTCCTCCTGTTCCTTCAGGGCTTCCATTATCTGAAGGGAAATATTATACATATATAAATATATATACATATACAGACGCAGAAACACACATATATACACACACAGTATAATAATATTTGTCAAGTACAGCTTGTTTTGTGAGGTGTATGCAACACATATACAAATCCCTGCTAATCCCTATAATTAATGTTAAATGAATGAATTACAACTATAGTTAACATAAAAACTGACTTATATTGGCCTTGTCAATAATGTGTTCATTTGTATACTGTATTTTCCAGACTATAAGTTGCACTTTTTTCATCCTTTGGCTGGGTTTGTAATTCAGACATTGCAATCGTGCGCATGGCCACTTGGATTACTTGTATACAGTATACAATGTAAAACCTATGAATGTACAATAATAAAATAAAAGACTGTTGTACTGCAGCGTAATGGTTCTGGACAAAGTGAACCACTAAATTCTCATCTTTATTAAAACCGCTCTATAAGGAAAAGGAAATGACCTGGTCTCTGGAGGCATTTTCTATTTCTGCAGCCAAAGACTGGGCCTTGGTCTGTGTGGCAAACAGGTTCTTAGCTTCATATAGACTCAGACTGAGGATCTGACCGTTGAGCTCATCATTCTGCTCCCTTAGCCTTTGGTTCTCCTGTGGCACAAAGTCAGAATGGCAGGGAGGAGACAGAGAAGAACATAAATACCAAACAGCATGGTCAAGGTTGAGGAGAAAGAAAAAAAACAACCCAAAACCCAAATTATTTTCAGCACAAGAACGTGTAGAAAACAAAGCTTAGCTTTTAGCATGAAGCAACAATGTGTGTTTATACTTGAGGTTTGACTTCTCCAGTTGTGAATGAGGGAGAATGAAAGGAAAAGTTATTTCCGCGTGTCAAAACGTGTCGTAAACACTGGTTCACATTCAGACATTAATTCTAGAAATACTGTATTACACAATTTTGATGGGAAAACCATGAGCAGTGATCAGGTAACTGGGTTTTGGTCAATGTTTTATGTGAAACATGATTTAATCCTAAGAAAATCTACCTTCAGCAGGTCAAGGTGGTTATTTGTTTTTTTTTTAAATGTGAGGGAACCGAAGGCCTGGATCCATTCCAAGAGAACATCCAGTCCAGGTCAGCCTTTGGTATTTGCCAAAAACACTTTGACTAGTGAGAGTCAGAGACCCTTACAGCCCGTGGTGTAACTCCTTACTTTGACATGAAAATGGCTGTTAGCTGACCTTTAGGACTGAGGCGGGAGTACAGTTGTTGGAAAAGTTTTTTTTTTTAAACATTGTATGGAAAGTATATATATAACAAAAGAGAATACTTCAAATAGTAAATACTGTTTTGACATCAGGGCTGTACTGTATATTATAAATATTCCACTGTGTCTACAACAAAACATTGCATATGGAACCTCCTCCAGCATCAGTCCAGCAGAAATAAACATATTTTGGACAACATCAAACATTAGTAAAGAAAACTAGTTATATCAATATACTACATACAACAGGACCAGTAAGTAGATTGCACTGCAGCAGTAGGTCACAGAGGGAGTGCTGGGAGATGGTGTGACAAACCCAGCTCCTCTGCTTTGTTATGTGTTACATAAGCTCTGTTATTAAGTTGTGTTTGGGTAGTTACCATGAATGCTTTGGTTAAAGAGACGGCAACACTGTGCCAGTTCAGTACAGAGAAATGTAATGAACCTTGTTGATGTGAGAGGTTAATGAAGATCAAAGAAGGATCTTTACCATCTGATCAGAGTGGAGCCAGGCCCCAAACAACACTGGCTGCTGGAATTCAGAGGCCTGAAAGTCCTGGGACATAAATCGCTGGACAGACACACACAGACGTTTATACGCCACAGGCAAAAGAGGGGAAGGATTTATCCTTTTAATAAAAAAGTTAATTAAATCTGTCGCTAACACGGAGCCTTCTGGTTCGTCTTAGCACTGACAATTACCCTAGATGTTTCTGAGTTTTCCTAAAAATAAAAACAATTCCAAAAGAAAGAAAAAACATATTCATCTGCCTGCACCTTTTTGATGAGGTAGGCTTATCAGTGTGGCCTGGGACTAAATCTCACACTTATTCAATTTGCCAACTTCACTTCAAACACTGATGTCTGAAAAAAGTTCCTCCAGGCCTGCTGAGTTTTGGTCTTTATTTTGTCCTCTGTGCAGACGTAACAGCCGTCCACGGTACGTCAATGTGAAGAGGTGCACTTGTACTTGCCTTATTAGGGAGGACAATTAAAAACAAGTTTTTCTACTCCTTTAACTATCATGTTTACTTTTCCCCTGAACTGTTCTATTTGTTGAGACTGTAACAGGATATCTGAACCTCCTGCAGAGTCACTCCACCAAGACCTTTAGGGAAATGTGTTACCAAAATAAATAAATAAATAAATACCATCCTATCTGTTGTTGGTATTCCCAAGAGACCAACCCTAATATTAGCACCTGGTAAATCAGGTAAATGACAATATTACTTTGAACAGATATGAAGGTGAAAAATAAACAGCAGATATGCAGCTGTATATACAAACCTACACCAAGGAATAAGCAATGAATGTGTCAGCAAGTAAATGTCCATACCCAAAAATACTTCAAACAAATCAGCATTAAAAATATCTGTAAAACGTACGTTTCAAACCTCATCATACACAAAAGAGTGGGAACGGGCAGAAAGTTATACAAGCCGCAGGATCATGAAATGAAGAGTTCTGTATAAAGTTCACTTGTACCTGCTTCAGCCTTTTGACCTCATGTTCCAGCTCCATCTCTCTGCTCCTGCTGTTAAAGTCTGCCATGCTGGTGGAGGACGTGCGGCTGCGACCAGGTCTTTCTCCTTCCAGCTTTAACATCTGAAGGTGCTCCAGTTCTCGTCGCAAGTCTTCTATCACCTGGACAGTAAACTGCAGTAAACTGACTGAGCCAGAGGTCTGGTTCTTGTTTGGACAAGGACTGGTTTTATGAGAGACAATATTGACATGGAGCTGCCTTCAAGGTGAGCCGAATAAACATGATAAAAACAACATGAGGAGATATACTCATGGGTGCCACATTTAAAGCAGACAGGGCAGAGTAGGTGAGAATCACTTACTGCCATGAAACCGTATTTATGGTAGGAAATCTGATATTGTTTGTTTAATGCACATTTTTGTCTTTTGGCAGTCGTGAGCTGGTCTTCTGTCTCCTCAGATGATTTGACTTTAACAAGACTGTGACTGGCACCAAATAATCAACGGACTGGGCAGAGCAGTTAGGGCAGCAGAACACAAGGCCTCCCACCTCCTGCATGGCCTCCTTCTCCTTCTGGAACTGAAGTCTGTTCTCTTTCAGTTTCTCCATCATTTTCCTGTAAAGATCCATCTCGTCCCTGAGGCGCAGACTGGTGTCCTCCAGCTTGTCTGTCATTCTTTGCTTCTCCTGTAGACGTATGAACAACGTGTACAATCTTTAAAATTTTTATCAGCTCTAGATACATTGAATAATAACAATAAAGAGAGAAAAATGACAATATCTGAAAATAAAGCCAGTAATGTTTGGTAAGTATGCTTTGTAAATATGCCTGCACAGAGAACCTGTTAAATCCTGATGAGAAATACTATGAATGTGTTCAACTCAAAAGACAATAATGCCATGGAAAACCACTACTGAAAACAAGGGAAAAAATAGGGCTTACTTTGTCCAGTTTGTCTGTCTGTGACTTTAGCCGACACATGTCCAGAGACATCTCACTGTTCTCCTCCTCCAGCTGCTTCACTCTGAAATACAGGACACGATTTTCATGTTAAAGGGTGAGTTTACTGATTATAAATACATTTGTACGCGGTGAGCGCCTCACCTGGTGTTGAGCAGCTCCGTCTGTGTGTTCATGTCTCGTTCCATCTTGCTGTAGGCATCTCGGTGACGTCTCAACTCCTCGTGCAGATTTTGCTCTGCTCGAGTTTCCTGGTCTTTCAGTTGCTCCTCCAGCTCGTGAACCCTGAAAAGATGAACACATTTTTATTTTATTTAATTTTTTAAACCGCATCTTTAACCCTTTCAAGAGCAGAACTAAACTGCTACTTATATATGCTGCACTGATGATACTGTCATTGTCTTTCCTTTCGATGAATTAGAAAGAAGACGTGTGTTAATGACATAAGGATCCCAGTCTAACAGGTACGTATTAACACAGTCTTTGTCTTTGTCTACCTGTGTACAAGCTGCATGTTGTCCTGCTTCAACCTGGACTTGACTTCAACATTTTTCACAATCTCGCTCTCCAGCTCTGCTACCTTCTTCTCCAGAAAACTCACCTAAGACAAAGAAAGCCTGGAGTCAAAGCCCTGCTTATCACTGTAAACAAAATGCACAAATTGGTGTTTATGGTTGTAAATCTATAGTTAAAGAAGCCCATTGTTGTCTTTCAATGTGAATTTGGAAGATCAACGGTTCAGGTCTTATTATATTTCTTCAATAAAAATAGACACAAAGTCAAAAGAAGAACAAAAACAACATGTATGTTGTATATACTTTCTCGTTGATGTTGATGTCACAGGATTCAATACTGTCTCGGAAAAGGTCCTCTGTACTTCCATTACTGCTGCTCAGGTTGCTGTTGTTCAGCAGTTGTCTGTCCAGGGAAAAAATACCACAAAAAACAAACAAAGAAGAATCAAATGAAGCTTTTTCATAAAAGTGACCAGTAGGAGAGATACAGAAAAAAAGAAAGACAACTGTATTCATGTTACTGTGACATACTGAAGAAGGACACTAAAAAATAAATGGTTTTTACCACAATAAAAAAAAGATAGTTTTTAATTCTTCTCTTTCAGTAAAGACAACATAAACGTAGTACTTACTGTACAAACTGCAAACCTTCTCTCTCACTGTATCGACCCGTCTCTCTATCTTAAACATGTTCCCCATTATAATAAGGAGCAGCGTTGACGTTCATCACTCCTCTTCTATTTCTCTCTCTCTCTCTGTTTCTCATACACTTATTCCCAATGTGATATGTTCACAGATGAATGTGTGGCTCTAAGATGGTACGGATGTGGAGGTACATACAGTAGATGTCAGGCACAGAATATACAAGGATGGTTCTGCTGACTCACTCTCTCTGTGTCTCATGGTGTGTGTGCACGCTGTAACAGGAGTCAGACACACACACAAGAGTGAGGGTGGTTTTTCTGTGTATATGTGTGTGTGTGTGTGACATATCTGTCGAGGACGCACAGTAGGAGGAAACCTGAGTTACCAACACGACTGAATTACACACTGGCACAAACAAAGATTTCTATGAATTCTCAAAAAAATGCAGTGTGGGGAAAAATGTGAAATGCACGCACGCAAGCACACGCATACACATGCACACACACTCTACCTTCCAAAGGCGGTGCTGGAGATTTTTCTGCTGGGGCTGAAAAGGCAGATGACAAATGAGAAACATTTTTAGTTTGCCTGTAAAATGACGGTGTCAATTTCCCGATGGTCGATGGCAGTTAGAGCAAATCATAACACTTATGGGGCAGTTTGGGTCTTTTTCCTTCAGTGTTAGACCCTGACACCCTCTAATCCATGCGATTAACCCTCATTTTGACTACATTTCCATTGGACGATGTCCAATTACAGTATCTGTAAGAGGACACCTTGTGGTTATTAATATGCGGCCTACAAAGAACATATTGAATAACAGGGAAGTTTCTTCTGATGTGAAGACATAACTCTGTGTCAAGATAATTATCAGAAAGTGTTCAGTGAAATATGTCACCTGTTTCTAACCTTCTCTTTAATCACAGGCTTCTGTGGACTAGGACACTGAAGCTAAAGCTGCTGCATTACATTTTAACCTATGGGAGCGTCTCCAAGTAAAAAAAAAGAAACTGACACTTAATATTACATTACATGCTCAGTGCTGTGTGACTGTGTTATATTTGAGTCTGTGTGTGTTTATGATCATGTCTAACCTGTTAGCCTTTACAGTTTTGAGGCGAGCTTCCAGGTCCTGCAGTAGGTTGACCTTTTTACTGCACTGAGAGCAGAAGACATCCATCGCCTCACCGCTACAATGTTGGCGGACTCTACGGGGAGTTTGGCCTGCACTGTAAACACAAACACACACACACACACACACAATGTGATACATTCTACATTCATTTATTTCTAAAACTGATTTTACAGGCTGCAGCTCAATTTCAGTACATTTTTTTCTGGGGACCCATATTTTAAAACTCATAAACCTTAGCGGCATCTGAACATAACCGGCTCTTTTTCCTAATGTTTTTCTCACCTTGAGGGAACAGATGAACCTAGATCAGAGTAGACGTGAGTTTGAGTCTCATCATCTAAACAGGGGCTGCTGAGAGTATAGTCTGGCTCCTCCCCCTCTCCATAGTCCTCAAACTGCTCCTCATTCAAAGACGCCGAGGAACGTGTTGACAGGTCGGAGATTACTGAGACGTTTGTCTGTCCACACCTGACAGAAAACAAAAGAGAATGATGTAAATGTAAAAATGTTAGATTTAGAAACGTTTTAAAAAACCAGAGGACTCAAACTCCCGGCCCATGAAGGCCCCAGCATTAATTTTTGATTGGTTTTTAAATTATTTAGTTGGTTTAAGAATGAGAAGAAAACAATGACCAGCTAAAATATCTGGGGATGTTGTAACAAAAATCCAACCCTCATGTGGCCCTCAGATGAAAGGACAGTGGAGTTTGAGACCCCTGAGTTAAAGGAAACTTGAAAAATGTCTTTATAAGATGCTAAAAGGGTTTTTAAGGCAATCCTAGAAAATGTTTAAGTATTATGATCTTGTACAAAAGAAGAATCCACCGTGGCGGTAGTTTTTTGTTTGTTTTTCTCATATGCAGTAGCAAAGAACCAATCAGCTGAAGGCAGTGGAATGTTCTGTGCTCAGACGGCCATTAAAGCTGCTATTAAGTAATGGTGCATAGGCCAAAATCTGATGGTAGACAGTTGTATCAGCAGGAGCATCCTTCATAATTAATGAATCTGTGGAACTGAAAGCACTACCTCAAATGTAGTGGAGAAACAACAACAGACAACGAGAAAGACCAGAAAATAGACGTCAACAAAAACAGGTATTTACTTCTCCCCTGAGAAAAAAAGATCCCCCAGTGTGTCCTCCTTGTCTGCTGGTCTGATCAGGGTATCTGAAGAGTCTGATCCCTGGGTGCTGCCCACCGCACTATCTCTGTCCGATTCCCTCTCCCTGCCTTCGTCTGCCACGTCAACCTCTGGCCCCTCCACTTCTTCTGGGAACAGCTGGCACTCGGGGATAAGGTCAGGATAGGCTCGAGTGCACATGACGACCAGGCAATCCTGCTGGTTCTCATTACCCTGATTTGTATACAAAAACAACAGCTTTAGTAGGTTTAAAACAATACAAGGATTATCAGTCAGAGGTTCAGAGCCCAGTCACGAGGGTCACCAGATCTTATATTAAAATAACAGCAAAGTTTTCTATTTGTGCTCCACAAACTGCATGTATTTTTACAGATGTGTAAGTTAGCCACGTTAGCTTCAGCTTGTGGGTGTGAGCTCCCTCTCCTGTTCTTTTGACCAAATCCAATCACCGGTTTGACCATTGATTGACAAACTAAGATGTGGACTCACATCACACAGCGCACGTTTCCACAGACCATGTTTCTGAGTTCTTAGATCAAGCAACAAAAAATGAGCAAATATTTAAAAAAAAACATTATTTATATTGATGATATTGATACTGATTTAACATCATTGAACTCTGATACCTAACATTTTTTGCATGCTTTTTTAATACACCATACAAATGATGTGCAATTTACATTTATGCTACGTCTGTATGACCTTCATAACTTTTTACAAATCAGCTGTAGTCAACAAAGTTATTAAATTATTGGTGCCTTTGTTTATAACCTTTATAAACTTCATCTAATCTTTATCAAACACCGGTTGTATTTATTCAAAAATACAAGTTTAGCAATTAAAAAAATGTAGGTTTGAACTCAGGGGAATAAAGGTTCTGAATTTATGATAAACTGATTTGCCTTGAGTAATTTATCTTTCATTGTGGGAATGGACTAAAGTCTTTCTTCGTTTCTTTTCCTGAAGGGGGATGTGAAGAGGTGAAGAGGTGAAGAGGTGATCGGTCAAAGGTCACTGCCTTTGTTATACCCGGCATCACTGGGTAACTTATTTTTGGATGCTTAAACATGTGAAATGCAGATGAAGTTTACATATACATGATGTGGTCAGTTCTTATTTGCACCACTGAAAAAAAAACACTAATAAAAGGTTTGATTTTATACTGATTACTGATTTATTTTATACTTGATTTTTATATTATATACTGACTTACGTATCGGATCGGACAGGCTATAGTTATTTTTTTCTACCCTGAGATTTTTACCAATTTTGGGTAAATACTGATCCAAAGTATTGGATCGAGCCATCCCTAATAAAAAGAACACATTTTTGATTGTTATAATGTGAATCACTGCAGCTAAAGTCTGAATTTGTACTCGTTTCAGTTCTCTGCAGAGCAGCCTTGTGTACTTCTATCTTTGTAGATAACCTAGTTCACTAAAATACACGTTAAGAAACATCGATCTTAAAGAAAGTTTGTAGTAAGTTCTGACCTAGTTACAGCAAAGATGCAGCCATTAATCTCTGTCTCTGTCTTGTTTCTGTCCCAATGAAACCAGAGCAGAGGGAAAGTTGATTTAACCTCTGTGTGTATGATGTATTTGTGAATGTTTTTAATATTGATCCAAGTACACCTATAGTTTTTTTTAAATTGATTAACACCCACAGAATCTTCCAGAAGTCTGAACGGATTAGAGACGAGTTCAAGTTATTGACTTCACTGTGAGCCAGTCCAAAAAAAAAAAACCACAATAAATAAATAAATAAATAAATAACCCAAAAATACAGGAAAATACGAAGAACCCTGGACAAACAACAGCTGTGGAGACACAAAGACAAATTGGTACAGTAGACTCAGGCTCAGGAAGGCCGGTGAGACACTGGTGACATGTAAGAAGGAGGAGCAGAAACACAGGAGCTGGAGTGATCGAAAGATAAAAAACCTGGGAGAAAAAAGTGAGAAGCAAAATAAAAAAACCCCAAAAGAAACAGGAACACTTTATTTGGGGTTACCAAAGTGGTCATCACATAATGATCTGTCCCTTTTCCAACTGAGCTACTCAGACTCCAACAACCTGCTACATTTATGTTACTGTAAGACTCTGCCTGATGTAAATGACTACTAACTTTTGTTGTACACAAGTACACCACTGTCAAGTTAAAAAAAAGGAACAAACCAGCACGGCTAAAAACTCTGTAAAATGAGAATAAAGCTGTACGTTACATCCTCTTACCTACTGTAGATCAACTTCCTCTGAATTCTCTGTCTAAAGTAACCAAACAGTAAGAGTTCCTCACAGACAGAGTGCGTGGCCATGATTGAGTGGACAGATCATTGGTCTTACCGTTTTATTTTCTGGTTGGTCACTGCCTTGTTGGTCAGATAGATTTACAAGTGTAACTGTAGAAGAACCCACATTTGCACTTGGAAAAGTTCATCCATGGCCATTTATTTCAGTGCCCTATTGATATTTTTTTAACTAAAAATAAAAAGAATGTGACGCCAACAATAATAATCATGTTTTTTCATCAACTACAGTTTTTCTAACATGGCGTTAAACTGGTTTTTGTTTCCAGTGGTTTCCATCAATTTGTTAACCAACCTTTAATCTTTTGCAGCATTACATTTTAATCAAACATAAAAACAATTATGTCCTGTTAAGGAGTGTCATCTTGAGGGATGACATTTAAGTAAGACAAGATTAAACGAATTAAAAGACGTTTCTCGAGATTTGTTGCACAACCCGTCGGTAACCATGCTGCTAAACCATTAGGCAAAGGCAGATGTGGTACAAAGTGCCTCTGGCTCCACAACAAAGATGGTGCAGTGGGACGACACATAAAGTGACATCAGCAGCACTGACCCCTACTGTATGGGCTGATACAGTAGATATAGTACAGGTGAGCTGAAAAAGCAGTGTGTTTTAGCAGCTCTGTACGGTGAAGTCAACAGGTGACTGACTGCAGAGGCATTTCTGTTTTTGTTTTTCTTGCAACTTCTTCTTTCTGCCCATATCTAACACACACCTATTTGTTTTCAGCTGAGTCTCAAAGGAATCACATATCTGCTTGGATTACCAAGAATGTGCTACTGGACGAAGGACAATATGGGGAGGGACCGGGCCAACAACTGACACTCTGTTTGGAGGCGTTGTCAATAATCCCAGACACACAGCACGATCATGGAGACATGCTGTGAGGCCACTCACAAACTGATGTCAAAATAACATCATGAAATGATTACCATTCGCAGAACATTGAGAGCACAGTGTTACGAGCTGGACTGTTAAAACGTCATTACAGTTAAACCAAGAGCATGAGAGCGTAAGGGAGTGAACGAACTTTGTGCCCTTTTTCGATAACACCCAATGATTACAACTGAGGATAAATAATATAATGTCTTTTTGCCTTTGATGGTGTCAATTGAGTTAATGAATAAACTGCCCGTGTAATTACAAAAACTGAAATAGGTCAAGGCAGCATGTTCTAAAGGTGCTCGTATGTAGCAAACACCTACAGTGCTGTGTGTTTTGTATTAACCCTGTTGAGTCATGAATCCACCTTAAATATTTCCACGCTGTTAAAACACACACTAAAAATGAAAGAGTTTAATCCATGTCCAAAGTTGTGGTTCATACCATGGGCCATATAAAACTTCATCATGGGCCACAATTTGCCATTGAGCCATATTTTGGGCATCCCTGATGTAGGACACGTCAGTATGTGCCATGGTATTATTTCCATAGAAAACTGTTTGTTAACTGTTGGCTAATGTTAAACAGCACTGATCCAACATGGCAGCCTTTGTGGACAAGACCTGACCTGGACATAAATAATGAGAGGTCATGTTGAGGTTATGAAAAGGAATTTCTCAACCTCTAGGTTTAACCACAACTATTAAATCCTTGTTCACCTGAAGCTGGTTAAATATGTAACAGCTGAACTGACTCCATTACAGCAGAGAGAACAGAGAGATCTCGTTTCTCCTGTGCTGCCCACTCCTAACCTGCTGCCTCCAACATCTACTGTCCTTTGGAAAGCCCTGTTTAGAATATTGTGTTATCAGGCAGACGCCAGATCAGCAGCCAGAAGATAAGGCTGGATCACTGCCCTTTAAACTGTCAATACATTTTTATTCAACTATTACACAGTGACATGAACACTACAGTAAGAGCTTCCCTTGAAATATACCTGCTGTATGTCACATAAAACAGTCTGACACGGCACACAAACAGACAACAAAGGTGATGTTTTCATGATTTTCTATTTTTCTGAGGAAGCAATGTCAAAAAAAAAAAAAAAAAAAAACACAAGAAAGAAGTTTCTGACAACTACACGTTGGCTTTAATGAGCGTACCAGGAGCGTTTACTGAAAACTTTATTCTGTTTTTAGCTGCTATTTCTCTCCTTTCGTGTCACACTCAACATGAGTGTGGGACCAATGAACTCTGGGTGTTTGATTTTTGAACAATGTAACAATGTTGAAATATTATGGTGCATATTTACTTTATCTGGTAAATGTTTTAAACATCAAACAATATAATGAGAATATCATGAAAAACAAAAGGAAAAAATGTCTAAAAAACAAAGCTTACTTTCAAACATAACTTTAACTGATATTATTCTGCGGCCTGTATACGGAGCTGCTTTATTTTTAAATGACTGAAACAGGAACACTGGTGGGCTGTGACAGTTTAACAATAAGAAGCACACACTCTGAGCAGACCTGTGGACAGGGATTGTGTACTGCCTGCCTTAAACTGGTGTACTACTGTTACAGTACTGTTCTTCTACAGACGCTAAGTCACAAACCATTCGCTAGCTGTCGCTAACTGGCTTATTGTGAGTTGCTCCAGTTGGCTCCCTAGTAGAAGAGGTGAGGGGTCCAGTAGAGGTCTCTTACCTCAGAACAGCAACTACTGAGTGATCTGAGTGATCTGAGTGGTCTGGTTCTAAGGACAAACCTGGTCCTGTGCTCACACACTCCACTCCCCAGGACAATTCTAGTCCTAGAAAGGAACTAAAACCACTTGGTGCTGTCATTCAAATGGGGGGAGGGTTGGGAGAGGTGAGGGGAGTTGGTGCCAGACTCTCATCAGGTGGCCCAGATGCTGCCTTTTGTTAGCAGTTGCATGTGAATCTTTGTTCTTGTTAAACAAAGCGTCTTAAGGCTTTAGATTTGTACTTCGAAACTGAACTACAATGACTCAGTGACTCAGAAACGACAAACTTTTTTCCCCTTCTATTCCGTGTCGTTTTAAGGAGTGACTGTTTTTGCAGCGATTATCCCTTATTCATCCAGCACGGCTCTGCACTGCACTTTAATCTAGTTATTCCAGTCCAGGTTAACAAGATGTGCCATGTCCATGATACTCACATACGAGTTACTCACATACGAGCTAACTGCAAAAATGTACAAATAACATACAACCAGCAAACTTCCTTTAGGCCACAACAACGAATTTAGTAGAGAATAAGAAATCTAAATTTGATATGAACGAAAACAAAACTCTAAATATTTTAAACCCTGATAACTTCCATTAAAACTCACCTCACGATTGAAGTTTTTCTTTCAATAAAAACACTATGGTAGTCAAAGTAGAAGCCTTGTTTGTAATATCAGCAAGCTGTATTTATGTTGAAAACATGACTCATCACAACTGACAGGTTGTGAAAACAGAGCCTAGAGAGGCGAAGAGAAGTTCATCAACGTCGATTCAAGACAGACTCCAAATGGACGGTCTCTGGTTTCACGACTAATCAATAAAATGCAAACTTGAGTGACATAAAAAACTTGAACCCATTAATGATTTTTGAAAATATTTTACATTTAAAAATGTCAAATCTTGAATAGAGATGACAGAACTAAGGCTCCCACATCCTGGAACAGCTGAAGAAGACATGCAGTCCTCAAGGCAGTGTCAACTTGATCCACCCACACGTACACATAGGTGACACATGGTGGACAATGGACTTTAGATTCTATCTAAAGACCTCGAATACAAATAGCCAGCAGCCTCCAAAACACAGAAGCTGTGTGCTGTATACTCCAACCAACCATCCACCACCCTGTACAAAGGCTTGGTGCAGTCTGGGTACTTACTAGTGAGGAGACTCCATGGTCAGCAGCCCCCCTTGTCTTGCCACTCTCAACGGATCCCAAATCTGTAGCCCCCCCTCTCACGTAACTCACACACGGATGCACACACACAGGTTCCCCTTCAGAGGCAGCAGAGGAGGAAGCGTCACTGTAGTCCAAAGGGTCAGTCCTGATGGCTGGTCTACTGTAGTCCAAAGACGAGCTAAGCACTCTGAGCAAAAGGCTGCACCGAACAACGGGCTTGTGTCCTCGTACACATATACAACACACACACACAAGGACAAACTCTGCACCTCACAGCCACACACTGACACACACTGCTCGGTTGGCCGGCTGACTTGCATTCACACACTGAGGGCTCTGATCGGGCAACAGTTGTTGAATTCATGGCACCGCCTCCCCCTTCTCACTGCCTTGTCTGCAGTTTCCTAGCAACTAGCCTCTGTGGGCGGGGCTTTTAAGAAGACTAACATTGCTGCACTCTGCTCTCAGCTGCCGCCTACTCAGGCTATATTTGCATAGCAGGCCCGTCTGTGGTGGGGGGTTAGAGATAGGAAGGTGTTTGCAACGCAAAGCAACTTCCTCTTAAGTAATGTTGCAGATTTTGTACGATTGTGAGACCTGAAATAGACTCAGGGGAAGAGTGGGAATGTCAAAACACACCAGGTTTCTCAACTGTCCATTTAAGACACAATCACTATTACTTACTTTTTGTCTTTTACTAGAAAAAGAAACATAAGTTTAAGTATTTGTGTGTGTTTTTAGTAAAAGTAACAGTCAACTCGTTAAAACTTGAAACTGAAGTTGAGGCCTTTTTGTCTTTGTGGTTTTGTTTCATTCAATGTTGGTGACCTACTATTTTACTTTGGCCCTGGGGTTTCATCGGGGATCCACTATGTTTGACCCACCCAGTTTGTTTGCTGTTGGTATGGACAGGTCAACAGATGAGGTCAGACACAGGGCTCCATGGACTATTCTGTTTCACAAGACAGAATATGTGTTAGTAAACTAGGCTCGTGAAAAGATAAAGAAAAAGTAAAACTGGAAGAGTTCAGTTACTTAGGGTCAACTATTCAGAGGTCAGTACAGGAGGCAGGAAAAGAGTTGAAGAAGGGGTGATGAATCGATTATAATCATAGCTGTCATAGCACCATAGCTGTCTAATAGTCAGAAGTCTGAGGTGGCAAAAATGAAGATGTTGTGATTTTGTCTGGGAATGACCAGGATGGGCAGATCAGGGCAGCTTGGAGATTTTGACAGGCCAGGTTTAGACGGTTTTGCTGACGAGAAAAAGTGTACATTAGACAAAGTCTGTAGAAGACAGAGCTGCCAGGCATGAGAAAAAGATATAGATCTCCAAGGAGATTTGTAACAGCAGAGGACGCAGGGGACAGAGTGACCACTGAAAACAATTTGAGAGTGGGGATCATTAAAAATGGACATTGCAAGGCAGCATAAAAAATTTAAAATTTAAATAAATCTTTTTGTTTATTTTTTAAAGCTTTACCTCAGGCTGAAAAAGGGTCAATTAAAAAAAAAAGGTAAAAGCTCAAATTTAAAGAATTACTTCATTTGTTTTTCTATGTTGACCAGGCTTGATAAGAAACAAGAGACTGTGAATAACAAGAAGCTGAGCACAAATGAACCCTTCAACTAGTAACCACTTTCTGTAGAATATCTTTGTGCAGGTGAGTGAAAACAGGTCAGTGGGTTAGCTGTGCCTTTAAGGGACAATTGTAAAGGCACTAGTTAGCACTAACATGGTAAGACTACACCTTCATTTGTAAAAACACAAAGTACTCTGACATAGATATTCAAACCAGACAACAGTCACGTTCAGAGACAAAAATGTAACAAAAATGTGGGTAGTGTGGCATGTAAAGTAGGTATATTTTAGTTTTTTATAAGTTCTTTTTTATAAGTTACTATCCAGTCATTTCCGGAGCAAATCATAATATATTGTGAAGGAACAGGAATGCAACGTACAAAGAGAAACACGAGTCTGATCCTGTCTGTAACATGTCACATTTAGTAATTGCATGGTGCATAAACAAAAACATTGTCAGGGAAAAATGTTTAGGTGTGTCTGTTGTCGTTTAAATGAGGTTTCAACAATCATAGACATCAATCAACGGAATCTTAAAGTAAATTATATATATACAGTATGTATAAATATAAAGGAAAATCTATAAAGCAATAAGAGATCATCGGATGAGCTGTTTAAATTCTATAAATTTACTATTTACATTATAGAAATGTAATAATAATATAACTGTCATTTATTTAGTACAAAAATTGAAAAAAAATCAATAAAAAAAGTCAATAGTTTGTTGTTCCTTTATGCCTCAGCAACAGACAAAACTAAAAAGGAGAGTGATTCAGAGCTGTTGAAGAACATCTTGATCAATTCCTGTCAGGATATCAACATGGTGTTCAACTAAACAGGCCTTGGTTTCACATTAAGTAACTAAACTGAAACTGGAAAAATCAAAAATGCTGTTTCATAACATATACTTTTCCTGTCTTTCTCTCTTATGGTGTTTGCTTTTGTAACATAAGCAGAGGAACTACAGAGCTTCCAGCAGGACGTTTAAAGTTGAATAAATGTTTTTAACTTCCTCAATTGAAAAGGGCACAGTCAGTAAAGGGGATACTGTTTTGTGTGAGCTCAACTCAAATGCACAATGCACATTGGAACAACATACAAGGTATTCACACAGGAGAAAATACTGAACTTTGAAAGGAGTTATCCCAGCATTAGCAATAAAAACGCTTTCCACAGGGCTTAAATGGATTAAAGAAGTTAATCTTAAAAAAAGGAACCTCATTATGACAAAAAGTCATAATTACTGTATGACCTACTATCCTTATGACATACTATTCTTCTTAGTCTATGACCTACTATGACTCTAACTAACTAACTATTATTTATGTTTTTTTGAATTTTGTATGTTTACTGTAAATTGATTGTTGATTGACTGACTGGAATTGGAAGTGACTATGGATGAAAGTGTCTGTTAAATGTATTGTAATGTCATGTAATGTCATATAAAAAAATGACCGTGAATAGTTCACATAATTACTCATCCAAAGTCTCTATCTTCCATACAGAATGTTCTCTCTTTACCATTATGGCAAAGCGTCTGTACTGTGTTTCAGTGTGTGAATATTTTAAAACCACTTCTCCATTTCTACAATGACATGTAACACTGACTACAGACTGACTAGGGTGGTGGTGAAACACTTAACAATTTCCCATGTAGTCTAGTATTAGAACTCTCATTAGAACTCTCCACTAAAACATTTTAAATGTTTGCCTTTGCTAATACGTTTCACATGTCATACATTAAAAAATAAAAGAATATTGGCTTTAAAAATTAAATGTGGGTAATAGTTATATCTAAACTTTTTTTCTTAGCCAAAGTAAAGGATTTTATCATTGTGGCATAATGTCAAGAAGAAAAACCCACGGGACGGTCATATATAGTCATATATATAAAGTTATTAATAAATTCAACTCGTTCCACTGCTAAACTGCAAATATAGCTCAGTACTACCACCAAGTGGACAAAATAGTAAGGTACGTGCACCTTATGTCCACATAATTGTGAGAACTCTCATGAACCAAGTTTCTATTCCTTAACAAATAGTCTAGTAGAACTATAAGGGGAAATTGGATTTCTACTAAAAACAAAGACTTGTGTGTCATGTAAGTGATGCCAGTAGAAAGAACAAAAGAAAAAAAAAGAAAAGTGTGCCAACAAACTTGTCAGGTGTCAGACATTATTATCTTACCTCATGTCTACTTACATCTGTTCCACATGACTGTGAGATGAACTCCAGCTCGGGCTCCAGTCCTGGTCCCCAGAAATTACCTTAACAAGAAAAACATATTCATGTCTTAGCTCTGTCTGTTTGAGGTGCTGTGTAACATACTGTGTTTTTAAATTGATCCAATAATGAGTTCTGTTTCCTGTTTCCTGTCTCTGGGTATCTCACAATTACATTACATTACATTTAGCAGATACTTTTATACAAATCAACTTACAATTTGACAATTCAATGTGATCACGATAGTACAGCCAAGGATTATCAAATGATTAAGAAACTATGATGCTAATACATAAATCAAAACAATTCATATGGATATTTCAGATTAAATAATACATTTTTTGTAGCGTTCACTTTCTTTAATGTAAGTTGAACAGCATATCCTTCTTGCTATAACAGTAGAAGACAAAAACATTTACGACACTTCTGGTTGTTGTCGATAATATAATCTTTAAAAGACTGAACGACCTTGAACACATGTTCTCATAACCTCATGTTCTTACAGTCATAATATAAAATTGTCTTTTTGAAAGCAATTTGGATTTCAAAAACAATCCCACCAGGCTTAGAAAATATTGTCCCTATTTCCATCATGTCCACATAATAGATTTGTACACAGACACATATAATAGTAGTTCAAGAGCAAGACAGTAGAACAAATCACAAATAATAAAAGGCCACATCTTCACAGCTTGGTCTAACCTTTTATGGTAAGAACACCAGAAACAAACTCTCTGAAGCTGATACTTCCATTATTGTTGGGTTCCATACACTTGGCCAATATCTTCACCTGTAAAAACAGACATATAACGTCACCATTACACTCGTGTCAATATCACTGCGTACATGTGATAACTGAAGTTTTCTTATGATAAAAATGTAGAAACCAGCTAACTAAACTAGCATTCTTCTATCAACAGCCAAGTGTTGTGTGTTATACAATAAAAAACCAATCATTTGAAGACATTCGTCATTACCCCACCACAAAGAGGATAATGAACAAAAACTGGATACAGTAGAGTATAAATGAGATCACTTAAAATTAATTGATTAATTTATGTGGCAGCTACTTCATGTACAGTTCTGTGTGTTCAGTCTGTTGGCAGTCTTGATAATTGCCTGTCAAGGACAAGTCAAGTGTTCTATTACCTCACACAAGCCCTTCATGTTTATCGTGTTTATAGTGTTATCAAGGCCCAAAGTAGTGTACAAGAACAAAGATTTACTGCAAGTTAATAACACGTGCTGGAATGTTTTGCATTAAACTGGCTGTACTCCAGGACTGTGTGTAATGCAGACACGTTGGCCAATTATCCAAGTCTACACAATGTTCCTATATATGAGCAACACAACAAATTGACTGATTCTTGTCAGGTAGCATATTTACAGATAAACCAGATATAAATTTGGTGATGCAAGAGAGAGAAATGACAGATTATCTACATGTGTTTTGTATAGAGTACGAGGTACAAGAGAAGTAACAGTAAATATGTGACAACATCGGCAGACATATTGACTTTTATAACTTAAATGCTACTTAAGTTTATATTACTTAGGTAGTTACTAGCTGTCACACGCTTTATAGTGTTTTACTATATTTGAATAATTATGCCAATATATAAAGATTTTCTAAACTAAACACATAGACAGGCTCATTTGAAAAGTCGTATTAATGAAAAATTAGTTTTATATAATAATTTAATAATATTTATTTTAACCTACAATTAGCAGGTGATTGCGGTTTTCTTTTTCCGTAGATATTAAATATAATATATTTCACTATTTGCACCATTAAATATCAAGGTTGGAAATTAAAATGTTACATTATTAGTCCAATCATCATGCAAATGTTTTATTGCTGGCTACACACTGTGGAATTAACATTAAAAGGACCATTAGGCTCAAAATAAGAGCGGGGCAACAACCGGCCACCGATTAAAAGCGACCACTAACGTATAATATAGATATGTCTGGGTACAGAAGTTATCAGGAGTTATAATTAAGTAAACTAATAGTAGTGTGTAGGTCTAAAACTAAAAAAAAACATACCTCCTCTCCAGTCCCAAACGCAGAGCCGAGTTGCACAAAGTCTTCTGTGCGTATAAAACCGTCCGCGTCTTCGTCACAAACGTCGAACACCATCTTCAGCTCCTTAAAAAATGTCAACAGATGCTCAGGTGCCTGACAGTCATCCATCTCTCTGAAAATTATTTGGTTTCAAGTCTATATTTTGAACTCAGACCGCTGAACAGAAATGCAGGTGTTCCGGCGACTCAGTTCTCTATTTATCTCGCGCGATTAATTGGGTGTGTACGGTAATGAGGGGGCGTGTACTCCTTAACGCGGTCAAAGCGTTTGGTTGGCTCTCGCAAATATTGGTCACGGCAAAGAAGGCGGAAGTAAACAAGTGTACCAGCATAGCGTACGAGTATATCACGTGCTGTTTTGACAATGGTATTCAAACAGGTGCTACATTGAGCTGAACAATGAACAATAAATATTATTGACAAATCAGTATATACTGTACATCTAGTGGAAACCAGTGAATCCCAACAAGGAGAACTGGATATAAATGAACAAATTAGAGGATGAAGAAATTTAGGTTGTTTTTATTTTAATTTTTTTTTAACCAGTCCGGTTAGTGATAATGTAATTGAACCACTTGGCTGAAGGCCAGCAGGTGGTATAGATGTTCTGTACATACAGTCTCACTGTCAGTCACACTTAATCACAATTAAGGATAAACAATTAACCTGGTAGTGATGTAGGCTTTGAACCCAGGAACCCTGAACATCAGCAAAATCATTACAATTTGTATTAAAGGGTGTATTCAACTCCCAGGAAGCTCAATTTGATGAAGCGAAACGGTGATCCTTCTTAATATGTCGTTTATTTTCTTTCCTGTGTTTCATTATTTCACTTCTTAAATGTCATTGCTGTTTTGTTTTTTGCACAGGGTATTTGTTGATGGTGGCCTGGAAGCCTTGTACTATTGGCATATTATATATAAATAGTACAAACAAAATCCTTCATGTACATGTTCTTCCATCGTGAGTGGCAACAATTTGGAAGATGGTTGGTTTGAACCTTTCTAAAATGCTTAAAATCAAGTTGTAATTGAAAAGCTGTAAAGCTGTGATTCAGCTTTAAGGTCAGGAGTTCTTGACAAAAACCCAAATGTTGATCCTAGAATTTTCACCACATGGTCAGTGTGGTGTGTAACTGCTCTTATACTGTGGTCTGGTGGTCCGAGACTGGCTTTTAGACAGACCAGTTATATTATACTACAACCTACATTCAACCACTGGGCCCCATAAAAGGAAGTGTTTACAGTTTTGACTTCCTCCATCGTTGTGTCTTTAAGAGGATGTCATATTAAGAAAACAGAGAGAGAGAAAGAGAGAGAGAGGAGGGGAGGGGCGGGGGGCCAAGAAACACACACACAGCAAGGAACACAGCGAGAAGAAGAGCGAGGAGTGTGTTTTGATTTCTTTTCTATTTTTGCTGTTATTATCGACTGGTTTTGTCAAAATGCAGGTTCCCACTGGAGAAATGTCACAGTGGATTTACTCTCTGATCTTCACGTCCTTACAACTCTGGGGTGACTATGAAATTATTTTTGTTTCTAGATGTTTTGTTATGGTATAGAAACTAATCTGACCTGAGTGCAGCCTCTGATTTGTTTGTGCTGAAATTCTATTAAAGTCAATATCATCTAATAACATACTGGCATGAAGATTTTTATATTCCTGAGATTTATTTTTCAAATATCAGCTGATTCGCTCTGTTTCTTCCTCTTTCATTTAAGGAACACTTCATTCGTCTTCTTTTGCTACTCCCTCTCCTGCTCATTCCCCACCTGTCCTCAACATTCATTCGAGGTCAGAGAACTCAGTGGTCTTCATCTGTAAGGTCACACAGGGGAATCCTGGGGTTCTGTTCATGTTATACAGATTCAGGGAAATGGTATTAATAATTATTTTAAATGTATTTATTTGTCAACTCTTCATTTACCCAAGTGTGTTGGGTTGTGACTGGAGCTTTTCCGTGTATTTAGGTGGACTATCATGAACTCCAGTCTGGTGCGGAGGAGGTTCAATTCACTGTTAGGATAAATGAAGAGAATACTGATAAACTTTTCTGCTGCCTCTACAAAGACCACCAGGGGCACTACAGTGCATTCAGCCCATACTTGCGGCTAAAACCCCACACAGGTTTGTTCATCTGTTTCCTCCAAAAATAGTTCTCTCAAAATAGACGCGTGATTATTGTGGCCTGTGGTCAATAGCTATAACATCAACTTTTAAAAACAGAAAGACACATGACGGCCGAGGCCAAAGTCAAAAGCTGTGCTTCAAACAGAGAGAATGGATTAAAAAAAATGGAAGGAGACTCAACTTGTTGATGTGTTCAGCCTCCACTCACTTATGATTAAACATGAGGACGACTAAAATAATAAACACCGCCATCCGCTGCTGTATGCAGGTGCTCCCTGCAGTCTCATTGTTCTCCTCTGTAGGTGTGTGAAACAGTTGTTATATCCTGCCTTCCACTCCACCCTCCACACACACACACACACTACTACCACAAGCACAAACCATACCCACAACAAACACACACCCACATAGCTACAGTATTACAGTTTGTACAGCTACAGCTACTTTAACCAACAAAAAGTTTAATATATTTGTTAATCAATTTGAACAGCTCCATTTGTTCCACAAACAAATAGCTAAGGTTCTGAGCAACGAAAGGCTACAGAAAGAAATTAAATGTATAAAACCAGGGGTCACCAACCTGAGAGCTCCTTCAAGGGCACTTAGTAATACAGAGAGCTACTTTGATACAGACTTCCTGAACAACGTAATAATAGTCAGTTCTGGGACATACAGTAGCAGACACTCTTCTCACTATCGTCATTGACCCCATTTGAATATCACTGAGAGAGAAACTGATTCAAAAAGCACAGAAACAGTACAATTGTTGACCCTCTTGTTGACTAGTTTGATTTTCAGAACATACCCTACAGGCAGCTCAGGTAGTCCAGGGGGGCTGCCAGGTGACCCCGGGCACCATGTTGGTGACCCCTGGTTTAGAGTATAGAAACTCAATAGAGCAGTGGTTATATGAATTGTACTGGCTTTAGAGGAATTGGGTCAGTAGATGGTGAAAATGTTGTAAGGCCACAGCAAAACAGAGAAAACATTTTTTAATGAATGTATTCTCAATATTTATGTGCATAAATATATAATATATATAACCATTATTATTTATCAGATCCTTCCCCCACTCTCTCGTTACCCCCTTTTCCACGGCCGTTCCTGTCTGTGGTGCCATCCACTGGGGAGGTAAAACGTGGAGGAACGTTGTCCTTCAGCTGCTCTCTACCTTCTCCTACACCTGAGCAACAGTCAAGCGGGTCAAGCTTAGCCAACAAACCAGTGAGCTTCTTTTTACTGAGAAAAACTGAGCAAACAGAAGCAGCCTGGGTCGAACAGCTGCCCCGAGCTAGTCTCATGTCCAGCCCTGACACCCAGACTGGAGTCTTCACTGTGGGCCCTGTGGAGAGAGGAGATGATGGGCAGTTTTCATGCATCTACCAGATCTCCAACAAAGAGCAGTTGGTGAATTCAACTGTGAGCAACATCATCCAAGTGACCATCAGAGGTGAGGATGCTCCAATGTCACCACTTTAATTCATATTAAATATGTTATTATTGAATAGTATCTAAAAAAATGTCCTTTTTAAATAATTGTTGTTTGATTTGATAATAACACAGAAGTGCTTTTTATCCATCCCTGTAACAATCTGTCATCATTAATAATTATAATTAATATGAAAAACAATTGAAGAAATCTTGGTTAGCTGATTTTGCTATTGAAATGCTCTGCTAATTAGCTGCTCAATTTAGCAACATTTTGGACATTCGTTGTGTTTGTCCATCTCAAATGTTGTGTCTTGACAGTAATTGTGTCACAGGCGGTTTTATGGGGAAAAAGGCTCTTGATTAATGGGTGTAATCTATCTTATAGATAAAAATTGTTTTTTTAAATATGGTAGAACGGTACCAGCATAATTCTTCCACGAATCACATGCCTAGCTTTGGTTAGTTTTCATTAGTTTTCACAGTGTTTTAGATTTTGTCAGTAGAGTGGGACGCCCTCTTTTGACCTAAGGTGTACAGAGATCTCCTGCATATTTAGTTTAATATTTTAAATTATATTATCTGTTTTTACTCAAAAGTTTAAAATATGGGTTCCAAGGGTGATTTCTTTCTTTCTTTCTTTCTTGTCTGCTGTTAGACATGCTACCACTGCCCACTCTTGCCCTTGACCAGCGGGCAGACGTTCAGCATTTGCTCTGCACAGGGTCTGCTGCTTACCCTGGTGCTGTTTTCTTCCTGTACCTGGCAGAGAGTGAACATCCCATCACCACGATTCGTGCTAAAACTAGCCATCATCAAGTTACATTCCAAATTCCTGTCCAAGAAACTCCAGTGGCATCGTACCAGTGTCAGTACAGCTTCATGCTTGAAAGGAAGTGGAGCCAATCAGAGCGCAGCAAATCTCTCTCCATCACCACTGGTACAGATTGATCCTTGTTTGGATTTAGTGAGTCTGTGGTGTATTTCAAGTCACATGACTGTTTGAATCTTTTCTTAAATTCCAGGTCTTCATCCTCCGACCACAGGTAGGCAGACAAGTGTACACAGTACTTAGTAGGAGTAAATCAAATGGAGACCAAAAACTAGGGCTGGGCAACGATTAAACATTTCAATCTCAATGCATGACAAATGCAAATGCATGACAATCTAATAAGCAGTTCAAAAATAGAGTTACACATTTAACAACAGCAGCAGCTTACCTCAGCTGTTAGCAGTTTAGTTACACATTTTTTACACAGTCGCGCAGCAGCTTACCTCAGCTGTTAGCAGTCCGCAGTGACTGTAGCTACATTACTAACGCTAACCATTGTCATTTTTTTACACCTTAATACACCTGGTGATGCCTGTGTGTCGTGTGCAGATGTGCAGCACTTGGACTGGCCTCTCCTCGTGGGCTCTTTATCTGCGGTGTTATTGTTCCTCTGTTCTGTGGTTCTGGTGGTGGTCTTAACTCACAGGAAAGGTATTTCACACATGAATCTTCTCTTTTTCACAAACATACATTCAGAAATGATTTCTGTTTTTTTTTAACCAATTCTCTCATGTTTGTTGAACCATTCTGTGCAGTGAAATCATCGGCCGAGATGGAAAAAAAAAGGTATTTTGGTTTACATGAAATACAAATGACACTATTCTGTTACCATCCTTTACCACAAGACATCATCGTTGCAGTATGGATATGTTTAGACTTTACTTTAAATCACAATTTGTTGTTTCAAATTGACCCTTTTATTATAATTTTTTTGTCTATCGTGGTGTTTATACAGTACATTATCACTGTTGTTAAGTTTTAGAATATTTTTTGTACTCTGTTTCAGGCAGGAGGCAAAGTTCTGGACACAGATCCATGCCAAAGATCATCCTGTTGGTAGGATTAGATTCTTTTTTTTTTAATTTTCCTTTCTCCTCCAAATTTTGTTTTCTGACAAAGAGAAACGACGTACACACACGGCTCATTACTGGGTGCTCTGTTTTTTTGCAGACCTCACACTCAGATGTTCAAGTTTTAACTCTCAGGTAAATTTCTTTCCCAACTACAGCACATATTATGAAGTTCAGAACCCACAGATTTCCCTCATCAGTGCTGTCCTCTAGCGTTTTGTTGTAGCTGTGTTTGTAAATATTTTCGCTTGATACAAGTTTATCATTTCAGCATTATATCTGTGTATTCTCATGTAGTTTTTAAAAGTCGAGATAAGGATCATTGAATTGTTCAATAAAATTTTTTTTTTACAGGTGAATGAAAAAAAAAGAAAATAAAATTAGATAAAAAATCATCCAATAAGAATTAAAGTTTCACTGTTTATACCCTGCTTTCCCACAACAAAAGAAACTTTACATGAACAAGTTTTAACACATTGTATGGGTTTCTGTTTATGTGTTCTGCAGGAATGGTCCAATGGGGAAACAGAGATGGCCTCCAGGTTTCCAACATGGAACTCACATTCCACATTCACAACAGTGAACAGTTAAAGATGATTGTTGTTACTGTTCTCTGTCTTCTTGTCTTTGTTGATTTCTCTTCCCCTTTATTCGTGGCCATGTGATCATATTCATGAATGTGTTTCCTGAGCTAATCATGCTAACATCAGCTGGAGTCACAGCGCTGCAAAGGAAAAGTTCCTGTTTCACTTGTAGCAGAACTGTGTGGGAATGGAATGTGATGTATGTTTAATCATCGATGTAAATAAACAAGTGCATATAAAGATATACAGATTTTTTCAAATGGCTTTAAATATGACTACGACTATGAGTTTTTTACATTTTTGTTTCGATTTTTTTTCAGACCACACGGTGGCAAATCACCAGTGATCAATTTTTCAATAAACATCAAGTTTAGCCCGCGACTTTGTCCCAGTTTTAAATTTTGGTCCACTGAATTTGAGTTTGACACCCCTGAACTCAAGCACAGTGTTTCCTTTTTTTTCTTGGCCCATAATACTGTACAACACTCCAGAAAATGCATAGCATTTAGATTTGGAGGCTGACAAGTAGACTGAGAGACGCAGCCAAGTACATGACCTGCTTGGCAAACGTTACTACAGCGAAACTGCTGCGTGTACTTGATGTACACTTGGAAGGAACACTGAGTCTCGTTGAGAAAGAAAACGGGGACTCTTAGTTGCACAAAAAGGCAGAGGTCTTGGTGCTAGGCAGAAAACAGGATTTGTACTGAATATCACATTTGTTTAAACTAAAGATTCAGACAAATGTCAATCAAATGAGCTTTATTTCTTTAACAAACAGAACTGTTACTATTTACTGTTGTAAATAGAAACGTATTTAAATAGATTTTTAGTCATCTATGCCAGGCAATTTAGGGCAAAAAAGTGCCAAAATAAACAACACAATAATAAAAACACAAGTGTTCAGGTACAATAAAAAAAAGTGTCATCAATGAGTTAGATAAATGTGCAGTTCCAGTGTTAAGAAACAGATTAAATACTATGGTGCACGATAATTATCGGCCAGATAATTTTTGCCCCGATATAAGAAAATTATGACATCATTCAGTCCAATTTGATATCATAAAGAATAGACCCGATAATATATAAAATATATTTTACATCAGCACCGCTGATTGAGAACAACTCGACTAAAATGTTGACTTGATTCAATATTATAAAACTGTGTTTTACAAAACCAAACCAAACCAGGAAGGGGAAGTTCCGTCATTACATTATATGCAGCACGTGCGTCACGTATTTGTAATCAGAGAACATTACGTCGGTGGTGGTTCAGAAGAAGACAGTTTGCTGGCTATTTGCAATAAATTTTGCAAGCAAGTTTCACAGGGAGGGAGAACTAGCAAGTAGTTTTTGGTCAACATAGACTGTGAAGCAGCACAGAGTTTATTATGTTGGTAAATGGTGAAATTTTGAAATATAGAACATGACTGTGGCAAATTCATATAAAGTCACAATGAGTTAAAGTATGACAACATGAGCTGGTGATTTATGGGTACCAGTTACTTCAACCACATGTAAGCAGTTGGCACAGAGACCTGTTTACAAACCTGCACAGATGCTAGTTTGTATCCCACAGACAAAAATAATAAAGTTATGGAGAGACTTTCTGAGACACAGCAAAAAATATCTAGTACTGTATTATTGTGTCATGAGTCGATTAGACAGTAGTACGGTGGGGATTCACAGTGGCTTTCAAATTAAAAGATGTAGTAATTATTATCGGTCCACAGGGGGCGTTAGTGTTTAATCCTTGTTCCAAAAACTACCTGACTGAATACAACAACAGTTTCACTCTCATGTCAGTCTCCAATATGACCATAAAACGGTTCAGTGAAACATTGTTAGGTTCGTTCGTGGTAAATGCCAACGCAGCTACAACAGCTACAAGCTAACACTGAGTAAAATGAGAGAGAATTCAATGTCACTTTCATTTAAATTGATTTTCTTTCTAAGCCGAAGCAAATGTCTGTAAATGTAGAGACAGAAACAGAAATGTGTGTGCCGTCAGCATCTGTGTTTTGATGGATGTTGATTCAGCACAGCCTGGTTGTCAGGGGTTTTATGACACTTTGATAGCCTTAATTGCGGTACATAACTTTCAGTCAGATTAGGATTATGAACAGCAACTTTATTTTAGTGAGTGAGAAAATGTCCATGTCCCATGACTGGGTCACTCCAATGATTATAACAGCAATGACTGTTGATGGTACACAGCACAAAGAAGTAGTATAGCATACACACATACCCCAAAGTACAGTGTGTCTCTATGTCCATGTTATGTGATATCACAGTTTACTCTGTGTACATGCTAACATCATCAGTCAGATCTGTTTGATTCAGACTTAGAATACTGATAAGTTCACTACACTTGGCTGAACTTAACGTGTAAATCGTCGACTTTTTAAAGAAACATTACCCACACGCTGCATCAGTGCTCCCCACTTCAATGATTTATTACAGTATCTTCTTGGAAAAACACAAGTTTAATTTGTAGCAACAGAAAAGTCAGAATATTTTGGTTACATGACAGTCAGTCTATAGAATGAGACTTATTGAAATAAGCATTTTGGCAAAGTAAAGCAAATGTGAAAACAACAGTCTGCTGTATTCAAAGAAACTGGGCACAGTGTCAGTCAGATACAGAAGCTAGATACTTCAGTACAGCCTTCAGCCAACCCAGTCACTCCATCCTTGTATGTGCTGATACAAGGAGGTGAACACTGAATGTAATAAAGATAAACAGATGAGCAGAGGAGATAAGAGGCATAAACACAGTCATTTTTAATTCCTTCATGTTTTAATTCCAAACAATTTCCTTAAAGTGCATTGCAATCTAGCAGGCAGACTTTATCAAAGGAATGGTATCCATTTTCCCCTTTCTTTTTGTTTCCTTATCATCATTTTTTTGTCCAGTTAAATTCCAGCTAACCTACTTACAAAGGTCTGATACGATGATGTGATTGTTGAGGTGTAATAAACTGGTATTGGTGATAAAATATTACAAACATTAATCAAGTCATGACAGGTTTTGGTCTCTAATCTATTATGTGACCTTTGTGTTTAATTAAATCATAAAAAAAAAAAAAATCAAATGGAAAGTTGTCTTTAAGTCACCAACGTCTTCGGCTCCTCAGTCCTCGTCCTCCTGATGTCCATTGACCTGGCCCGACTCCCAACGCTGCACGAGAGGGTTCTTTCGTCTTGAGGTCCAGGGTCTCGGGTGGAGCTGGTTGTAGAAATTCTTTTTAGTAAGTCAGCAGTTACACCATGGACACTAGTTCTAGAACTATTCCTACATTCAAAAGGTAAACTTGCCAGGTAGAGAAATAATAATAATAAATAAACACCAGTTATTAAGTCTGAGTCAAATCTTTAGTAGTGTTCACTGTAATCATCACTGTGATGTTAGTGGACGGACTCGACTTACTCACCTGTGGCTGTGAAGTTCTCTGCTCTCTAACACTGGGTGGAGGCCACATGATCAACCTTGCAGCTGACTGGTGTCCTACAAAGGAGAGAGGGGAAAGGTGTGTGAGATAGGGAGTGGGAGGGTGCCATAATAAACACTGAGAAGTGTGACGGTGTACTAGGTAAACTCAGGTATAGAAAGGTATACTCAGGTATACCCTCTTCAATTACAGTAAAAAGTAAAACTTGAAAAGTGAAAGGACTCAGTACTGGAGGGTAAATGAAAGGAAGTGAAAATGTAACACACCCGCTATAAAAGAGACGTTATTATGGGTTATACAACCCAATGTGTATACAAGGACAGTACTCTATTCATGTCCCAGCACTGAGTCAGCGGTACTCACCCTGTATAAAGGCACACCCTGGTCACTTTGAGAAGTTTGAATATCAAAGACAAGAAGTGGCATTAAACAAAATCGATCAAAACAAACAAACAAACAAAAAAAACCCCATCAACATAGGCTAACAACTAACATCCTAATATGGTAAACAGCCTGCAGGCACAAACCCACATAACCAAATCATTTGGAAACGTAAGAATCCTGAATGAATGCTCATATCTGCACCAACCTGCTGAGGGTTCCGTTCCACGTCCAAACTCTGAGTCTGCTAAGTCAGCAAAAGCCAGTCCACGGGTGGCAGACATTGAAGGCATCATGTCTTCGACTAAGGCCGCTCCAGCTTTCCCTCCATACAGACTGATTCTCTGTTTCTGAAGCTCCTTCTCTCGTTCCTGAGCCTCGTGGATGTCCTGCTGACCCTTAACTAAATTTGATGAAGAGCGCAGCTTAATAAAGGGGTTTTCCTGGGCCACTTCCTTCTCCACCATGTCATGGTTATTTTGCTGTAATAGCCTGGTAACGCCACCATGCCCTGCTGTTCCAGATGATGATCTGTTGAGTCTGTCATTTGTGATTGTGCTTTCAGGCCTCTTCACCTCCTGCGTGAAATAACCGTACTTCTGTGTCGGCCCATTATCCGTGGTGGTGACGTTTCTGTTAGGCAGCCCCTCGGAAAAGCCTGCTCCATTAGAGCCTCCTCTGGCTGAAGTGTGAAAATCTGTAAAACCAAGCGGGTCTACACTCCTTCTATACGAGTCTTTGGTGATTGGTGCCTTCGATGAAATATCTTTTCGGTCGTCCAGAGTTAAACTACCACTGGATGAGGACAAACGTGAGGTTTTGCTCCTCATTGAAGGAGCCGGAGTTGAGTCACTTGGTTTTTGAAAGGCCTCAAAAACATGTTTTCTTTCTTTTAGTTGCCGTACGGTACCCTTGTCATAAAACCCCAGAACCTTTCCGATCCTGACCAGATCCTCTTCTCTCTGGGCTTCCTCGTAGATGTCCTGCAGCATTTTCTTGCCAGCAAACTGTCGGTCTTTGCCTTGAAACCTCTCAGACTTGAAGGCGTGAGACTGGGAGAGAACATTTTTCCTGAGGTTTACTTCAACGTATTCTGGGGCAGATGGCAGATTGGGAAGTCCTCTGGATCTCCTCAGGCTTTGTTCTCGCGCTATAGACTTCCTGATCTCCTTCTCAATGGGGGTCTCTGTGACTGAAGCCCCTAATGTTTCAGTGGAGCTGTTGATGTTGCCCTCCACAGTACAGAACTGTGTTACCAACCCACTGTCACTGTGGCTGTCATCACAATCTTCTCCCTCCGTCTCGACGTACTTCTGCTGTTTTACATAAACACCTGTGATATCGTCCTCTGTCATGTTGTCTCCTGCCATGTCCAGTCCACTCTGTGTCTGTCCTTCCCCTCCACCTGTTTACTGACTTCCGTACTCTGTCCTCTCCCTGCCTTCCTGTGTTCTTTTCCTCATTCAGTAAAACACCAGCTCCCAGACGCTGTCCCACCCTGATTGGACGGCTCCATGGCAACATTTGACAAAGGTGGAGAGTCCTGGTCATGCACCTGTCATGTAGCTTCCTGGTTGGCAATCCTGGGGGTAAGGCCATAATAAATTTGCACAAACAGCACAACCTGCTGTTAGAATGCGGACCATACAAGAAGGTGTAACGTTAGACCATAATTAGAGCAGAGGGAGACACAGGCAATACATTTTGTTTTTTTTAAAAAAAGCTTCTGTGTAATAACTACAAGCTGTGTATGATTACCGTCTGCTGTTAGTGTTGCACTCACATTACTCTAAGCCAGAGTTTCCCTGAGCTCATGAGCCGTTCTTCTGATAACTACAGTAGCCTGGGCGTGCCAGACCTCACGATTGTTACCATGACAACACATTTTAGCTTTGTAACTAAATACAATTTTTTTTAATTAAAAGAGCTCTGATGGAAGTTGCAATATTAGAAAAACCCCCCACTATAACTGGTTTTCTGGTTGAGTTTGAGATATGTCATACAGATAGTTATGCCAACATTTGCATCTGGACTTAAACTGGCAAATATTCACCTTTATATACAACTGAATGAACATGGCGTTTACATTCTGTTAGCATTAGTGCAAATTTTAATATTAAAACTTTGTTTAAACTGTGCAATGTCGGAGCTGTAATGTATCATGAAAGTGGCATATGTTTGCGTCAAGTACATCAGAGCTTATTCATTGCACAGATAAATAAATTAATATTTTGTCAGGTATATTTTAGACCAAAATAAATGCATTTGAAAAATCTATACATACTTTTTAACTCCTTTGCAAAACTGTATTTAAAACAATTCAATGGAAATTCAAAAATAAACACAACAAAACAACAAACACACCACGTATTACTGAATTTAAAATCTAAAGAGGATCAAAACAGTAGTGAAAATGAACTTTTTGAAAATGTCAGAAATGTCCAGGAACACTTTAAAAATATACAGCACATATTTTTTTCCAATGCTTCTATTCCAGGCTTAACTTGGAATTTTGGGTTTATTGCTTTATAAAGTTTTTTTATTGATTGGTTTGTCTAACATCTTATTTGTAACCAAACCAGTATTTTCTTATTGGTCTGTGTATTGCACATGATTGTCACAGATGGCTATTATTCCTCTATTTTCTAGACCAGGGGTGGGCAAACGGTTTGGCTGATGGGCCAAAACGAGGTTCAACATTTGTTCAGTACTGGCTGGATGTTGAATGTTTGGGCAAAACAATACAAATGAAATGTAAATAGACTTAAAACTTCAAAGAAAATTTGGAACATTTGAGGTCTGTCGCCATCTAGTGGCATAAATAGAAATTGCAGTCGACTCATGCCCTAATTATCTGGATCAGATAAAGCCCGCTGGGGGCGTAGTTTGCCCAGGTCTGTTCTCGACAATATCTTTTGTTCACTATATGGAACATATAAACACTTTTTTTCTTTGTGCACCTGAACATATTTTTCATACGGCATGCAAGTTTTGATTGTTAAATTTGGAAATATTTGCAGAATAACTATTTTGATAATTAATATAAAATTGTTCTACCAGGATGTCTTTGCAGTAATGTCTTTATATAATCTTCCTCCTCAAACATTAGGTTAAATAGCTATTGTTGAAAATAGTTGGAAATACTGGGTACATTTCTAAATCACAAAATATTCAAAATGGAGGTTAGCATCATAGAAAAACAACTTTATTTATAAACGTATATTTTACCAGTGTGAGTCATTTCACGTATTTATTTGTTACCTCTGTGTTCGCCACAGGAGTCCTGTGTTCTGCTCTTTACAGAATGGTCTCCTCATTTAGTAGCTGTTCAACAACACAATGTCTTCTGCAGAGAAAGACGAGGAGGACGGGCCAAGATGGGATTTGTCCAATGTCTCCAACTCCCTCTTTCTTTTTCTGACACCATGACAGGAACCAATTACTTTCTTCTCTGCAGGACTTTGATCGCTATTTTTTTGGTTATATGCTGCAGGTTTGAAGAAATGCAGGCAGTCTTTAGTGACGTCATCCTGACTGTCATGGATGAGGGGAGAAGTGTTCAGGACCTCTCTGACAAACTTCTGCCTGCCAACTACAAAACAAAACATAGACTCAGAAAACAATACGCAGACAATGTTTCACAGTAAAGTACTGAAGAAAAACAATACTAACAAAAGCGCTGTGAGGATGTTCTCGAAGGGTCAACTTTCTTCAGTTTTGGCATCTTTAAGCTATTTGTCTCCCACTGGTGGACAACCTCAACAACCAAAACAAAGGTTAGCTAAGAAAAACACAGATTTACAGCGCTCATATTCATACTCCTATTAGGAAGTGAAGATTGTGTAAGTACCTGCTCTGCCCAGCCTTCAGTTTTACATTTTGAATGATCAAAGACGTCCAGCGGCTTCTCCGAAAAAACAAATCCCAACAGGTTTCTGATCCTTATCTTCAAATCTGCACCAGGCTGGAGGCACAAATCCCTTTACAGCACAAATCAGCATTACAGCAAGCTACAGTCTAGGTGTGTGCAGAACTGACCTTTAACAGAGTCCCAGAAACATCTAGCTGTTCCAGTTTAGGGAGACATCTGAGGTATCTGAGAGCCTTTTCTGAGATAGGATTGTCTGCACAAATAAAATGATGATGTCTGGTCAGTGACAACCAGGCCCAATGTGTCACACAAATTAGTACGTGTAAAACAACTGCTAAATGATGGATGTTGACTAACGAGAAATATCCAAAAGCTGGAGACCACCCAGACCCTTCTTCATGATCCGTATTGGTGCCGTCAGTCTTTGCAGGCCAACATCTGACAAATTGTTGCCACCAATAGCGAGGTGGGTTAAGCTGTGGATGACACAGATGGAGAGAACAGTACTGATGTAACTCTTTACTATTCAACCGTGTGATTATGGAACAGAGGAGTCTGATAATATTACTTTGCCAATGAGGTAGAGGTTAGATGCTGAAACATCTCATGGTCATCTCCCAGTCTGCAGCCAAACAAATCCAAGCATTTTAAGCCATGGAATGTTTTTATTTCATCCATTTTCTCATGAAGGAGGGGGAACCTGTGGTAGATGAAGATGGACAAGAAGAGTAAGTTTGGGGAAAGTGAATTAGCTGGGTCGAGAGAGGCTGTGTGGAGATACCAACCTATTTCGCAGGCATAGAGATTCGAGTACCATGTGCCCATAAGCATCACTGAACAACTGCAGGGCTTTACAAGAAATGTCCGGGTTTGAAAACACACGGTTCTCCTCTGCTGCAGCAAACAGCTTATCTCCTATTTGCTCTGGGAAACCCACCAGAGAGTCCACATGGTGAATGTTGTCAGCGACGAACCGTAACGTGAGCTCGAACAGGGATTTGGTGGAGTACCTCAGACTTCCCTCTGTGTTATAGGTGAATATAAAATGCTCCTTTTTTACCACGAACGGATTTGTCCTCCTGCAGGATGACACCGACTTGTGCTGTGAAAGTACTATGCCACTGACACAACGGAGTTTGCCTTTCTCTCGCACATAAATGCTATTATTGTCCATTCTCTGGTGTTGATCTCGCTGTGGGTTATAACAAATCCAGGCTCATGAAAGCGATAGAAAACAAATGCATTAAGACAACTGTTAGGTTCGTAGCGCAAAAATAGTGTCACTAAATATGACGCAATTATTCCTGTAAAATGATGTTGGAGTAATAGTTAGTATTAGTTTGGTGCTTGTTGGCTATATGTTTATTTCCTGGTATATACGTTTACTTCCGGTTGGTTTCCCATGACGTAATTTGGCGAACTTTCTTTTTCCTGTGGGAAACTCCAAAATAAAACATCGACTAATATGACATCGACTTTTTTATGTACGACGTAATCAGAAAAACCCACATTTTGCATTAGTGAAAGTATTTAACAAAATTATATGTATAAATTATAACAATTCAGTAGATAATTGTGATAATCTGCCAAATATAATAAATACATTTTGAAAAGATTTATAGGAAGCAGATTTGTTAACACCATATATGAGCTTTTGAAGTTAATCGTTAGAAAAGAAAATCCCAGAGTATGTTACTCTAAAGGCGCTGTCTTAAAGTCTTTAAACTCAGTTGAAATCACAGATTCTTTGCCACTTTATTTTATCTAACCTTTCTTTGATGTCAGAGACACTGCTATCCAAACATACAACATCTGTGTGGCCTTGTATTGTACCCGCACAAAGTTCTCGCTTGCTTAATAGTTTGTTTAAGGGTATTCACCTTTGAAACGTACACTGTAATCGATGCCAAAACACAAAGTCTATTTTATTTATTTTATTTCTTCTGTGATTGTATTAGTTGTAAAATAATAGATAATTATAAAATAGATATAATTATAATTTAAGACATGTTCTATTTCTAGTGATTGGATATAGCTATAAGGTACTGTATTTAAAAAAAAAAAAATTCTTGTAGAGTTTTCCTTTGTTGTGTCCTACTTTTCTTGATGTAAGGATATCCCAAGATCCACTTCATTTTTCTTTGATCTCTCATAACTGTTCAGTATTCAGGAAGGAAGGAAGCAACACAAAAACTCATCTTACATCAGTTCATTTAACTATTCAACTATCAATTTATATCATTTTTGATCTAAAATGAGCCTGTAGCCAACAATATTTAAGAAATGATAATATTGTTGATCACATGCCAAGTAATTGTAAGAATGTTAACAGTTAAGGGTGAATTGTTTTGTCCAATTTTATAGTATATATGTCCAGTTCATCCTCGTGCTGTGGTGGTTTAGGAAGTGGACTTGAATCCTCTAAGGTTCATCCCCACACACTGCTCCCTGGGGGGTTAGCTTTGGCTGCCCCCTGCCCACTATGGTAATTGGTTAAATGCACTTATGTGCGGTGGTGTGCAACAACAACAAATTAATCACTCAATCTGAACTCAGGTGTTTAATGACGGAGGTAAGGTAGTCGTACACCAATATAAACTTCTTATTTAGAACCTTTCCTAATTGAAGATTCTACTTCTGCTTTCAGAAACCATATATGTGAGTATATAAAAGCAGGGCACAGAAAAACAGCAAAACAAACTCAGTCTTTATGATGTACATCATATTTATTTGAAACATTTTGGTCTCCCCCACACAACATTCTTAAACCTGGTAAGGACAAACATGTGTTCAAACCATGTCAGATCAGATCTCGTACCAGGGTCTCTCACTCCTCCGCAGCCTGTGAAAGCAAGTCTGAAGGGTCTGGACAAAGGTCTTTTGTAGGATCCATCAACACAGGTTCTGGGATGTTCAAACAATTCACTTGAGCCTTGAACTCATCCATCTCCTCCTGTGTCACTTCTCTCCTTCTGCTGAACAGGTACAGGTCCAAAAACCTCTGACTTGCCGACACCCCTTCAAACTTGACCACCATACAATCTGTACAAGAGCTCTTCAGTAAGGTACCGGAGAATTTCCATTCTAGAACTTGTGTGCTAAACACGTTGCCTTCCATCTTCAGGTCCTGGTGCCGATACATGCACTGATTACCATGACGGATGGCTTGGGTGTAGGAGGTGCCAGTGACATTAACAGTTATGCTGTCTCGTTTCTTAAGAGTTTCTGCCCCAGAAGGCTCTTGCATGCCGCTTGCGACTAAGGCCCATATTCCCTGAAACTGTTGAGGATCCACTGGATCCAAAGCCATGGCCAAATCCTCACAGGGCCGAGGATCTGAAAGACTTAGAGCCACTAAGCCTAGAAATGTAGTTGCAATGGCAAACATGTTAGCGTCCTTTCGGCTTCTTTGTCAAGTTTCAGTTGAAAGGCGATTATGACACTTTTGGTTAGCAGCGTTCCAATTTTATAGAAACCTGTAGTTTTGCAATATTGACAATAAAAGTTGACCCTACAACTAATCAACTTTGTGATTGTGAAACAACCTACAAGTGGTGTTTGCTAACTGTTAAACACACAAACAAGACAAAGTACATCTTATGCAATAGCATTTGAGTTGAGTTTTACTGGAATATCCAAGGTCTTCAGATAAAACAAACAAAAATGAACATAAATTAATGGTGGCATCACGTTCCATTTAGTTTAGTCTATGACAACCTTTTACTTTTAGATGTTAATAAGAGTTTATCAAAGAATCCAAGGCAGACAAGTGGTAAATCTGCTCAGTAAACACCAACACTTCTTGTTTATCACACTGCCAACCTAGTAAAAAGATTTTTTCCACAAATGCTAACCCTTTATTTCCTATTTCTAACTCAAAGCTACTGCCCAATATAATGTTATTGTTGTACCTTTTATAACTGCTTTATTTTCTATATTACCAAGACAATTTACAAAACATAAAAAACATTTTTTTGAATGACTGTTGATTTTATAAAAATCAACAGTCATCCAAAAATGTTATTTAAAACTACTGGGAACTTTTAAGTTTTAAGATTCTAATAGTTATAGATAAAAAAAATTAAATATGTAAATTTTGCAAGATGCTTGATTAAAAATATTTCATGATTACTTTGAAGTGTTTACTATTTAGGCAATGTCACTACCTCTTTTGGTGCTGAAATGTTGGGTTGGTAAACAGTAAAGGTTGGCGTAACGCCTGTAGCCTTTCTTGACAGTCGTCACCCTTCACCTTCACCTTCACCTTCAACCTGGGCGTATTCAACATCTAGTAATACACACTCATTTAAATATAATTCAGTTTAATCATCAATCCATACATTATCATACAGGTTTATTGTATTTTTATATCCTTTTCTGTATACAGTTGATATATCGAACACAGAGCAGTTTTATGCACTTTGAAATCGCTAATAAAAAGAGTTCTGGACAAAATAAATCATACATACACAAGCAACAGTAGCCAGAAATATGTACTTCACACTAAAGGCAAAAAAACTGCATGGAGATGTATCCGCTTCATTATAAAAGCCTAATCCTTTCCAGTTGTAGTTTGTAACTGGTTTCCTACACACATTCATAAAATGAGTTCAAGGTCATGAGGTCAATACCAAATACACCAGGTCCTCGGTTTACGATGCCGTCAACCTACGGCGTTTCATGGTTACATCGCCATCTCCCGTAAGTCTTGTTTCGTTATTTCAACGTACGGCTTTAAAACTAATTTCGTGTAAGAACTAGTTGGCAGACAGAAAGCGGTTGGATACGTCATCACGTGGAAGACGGCGTTGTTTACAGTCGCTGGGTGTACGTCATACATTGTGCTACATTCACTAAGTCAGAAACCTCTGATGTTTTTATGTCCTAGATTATGATGTCACCACTGTGTTAGTGTAGGAGAGTGACAGGTACTGACGTACAGAATGTGAAGTCTGCCTTACGGTGAAAATTGAATTATGTTGCACTGTAGGAACGGAGGTAAGTACGTCGAGGACCCCGTTATCACAATCAATGATATTCATGTAGTGTTTACAATGTTAAAAAAAAAAAACTAGGTTTCACAGAAATAGCAATCCTTGAATTTGAATGTCCCAGAAATCAAATATTGTACTGTCAGTCAGTGTCCTTGACCAGAGTGCTCTACTCCTGCCCAGTAGGGGTGTAACGGTACACTCAACTCACAATACAATGTGATTTGTGATGTTTTTGTTCACAAAACCAGACATCTCCAGACAGGTTAAAACCAAATACAATGAAATTGTTATCTTAAATAACAGAATACAAAAACTGCACATTTCTTTACAGAAACACTGCACATTAGCATTTTTTTCAGCATTTCCCTTGCTAACTGTCAATATATTAACCAATAAAAGAATATAAAATATATTAACTGGAAAGAGCTGGTTTTCTTTAGAGAAACACTGTTTGTGTCTGTTTGAACACCTGAAAGTCACGTAGCGACCTCTTGGTTTAAAAACATGTCACAACCAACGTTTTAAGGCATGTACTGCCACCTACTGTACCAGAGTGTGTAGTCTCATGGTATGACCACTGAGTTGATGAGAGATTCATTTTTCATTTCAACGATGCGAACAGTCACGCATTTGTTCTTTGAATTGATTCACGATGCATCGTTGCAACAGAGGAAGAAGTGAGTCTGTGTTGAACATCAGAGAGTCAATATAAGAAGAGAAAAAGTTGACCTACTCTTTGATCATTTACATAACAGAGCAACACCGGCAGCTTTTCCATTTGGGTGCCTTCATTTCACCCTCTTGACTTTTCTTCTCTTGGCTATGTGTGTCCACATTTATGGAGCTGTCAGCCGCTGCTGCTGACTCAGAGGTTTTGCTGTAGGACAGGAGGGGCTCATGCTCAGGCTCTGGCCTCGGCTCTTTTCTCTGGTTTTCCTGATGAACAGCCAGAGGCACCTCCTGAAAGTGACCAGATTGTGCTGCAGGATCTTTGACTTTAGCTGACAACATCAAGGGTTCAACCTCAGCCGTGGCTGTAATGGTAGGGGGTTCCACCTCAGCATAGACTGGCACTGAAGCCAATACAATGTCCTCTAAAGCAATGTCTGGGAGGTGAACTGTTTCTGTTGAAGTTTTACTTTTTTCCAGTTTATCCAGTGCTTCACCTTTCACCTCACTGTTCTCGTTTTCATTTGTGTCAAGGTAAAAATCCTCAGCTACTGTGGGCCATAGTGTCTCTGGAGCAGGTTCCTGTTCTGGGTTCTTCTTGGGATGTGTTAAAGGTTCTTGAGCTATTTTTGTTTTCAATTCATCTTCTACTATCTCCCCTCCATTCATGCTCACTCCCTGATATGGCAGATGGGTTTCTTTGCACTGCGCGGATGCTAAAATATAATCAGAAGCTTCATCTCCTTCATCTGTGATCATCACACACTCTGCTCGGATCAACAAAGTTCCCTCCTCTTCTGCACTACATCCAAGGTCAGAAACATGACAAGACTCGGCCTCTGAAACACCAAGGCCTAACTCAGGCTCTACCTTAAAACTAACAGCTTCCGAGGAGCTGCAGGGTCTGTTGACCTTGTGACAAATGTTGTTCGACTCTCCTCCATTGGCAATTGACACAACCTCATGTCCACCCTGCAGGGACCTGTTCATATCTATGTCCACATCAGCTGCCACTGGGGAAAACAAAAACATAAAATGATATCTTCAGGGGAAAGGATGTTAAATTGCATTTTAAACATTAACTAAATATATCAACGCTTCTTTGTAAAACAATGTTCGACTATCATTGAGTCTCGCACACACACTGCATGGCCTGATGCTTCGTACTGCTCATCCAGGGCACAACAAGGATGGATCCTGATATGAGGTCAGAGGTCACTACTATCAGTGACTAAATGGTGCTTCAGTGGTAGATTTCGTAACTGAGATTCTCTTGGTGTCATTTATATACAGTGGTAACTGTAAAATCTGCAGTTTATAAACCACATATGTACAGAGAGAGAACAGGGTTTTCTAAACTGGATGATGGTTGTTCCAGATGTGTTTCATTATTCATTCATTCATCTGATGTCTGACTTCACTTTTCTGTTTTAAAAATCCTAGCCAATGTTGTCTGAAGTAACGCCAAGAATTAAAACATTTCAGCTAACTGTGAATATACATTGTTTTATGGCTTTTTCTGGGAAACAGGCTGAAAAACTTTCTTTAACAAAAACTCTGTATTTGAGCCCACCTACCTTTTTCAGCCCCCGTCAACAT